GGAGGAGGAGGAGGAGGAGAGAGGGGGAGGGGCGTATATACATATACACCAAGAGTACATGATACAGATAATCTCTACAATAGTACAATAGTACAATAATAATAGTACATAATCTCTATTGTATATACACACATATCCCTGTATAATAGGCAGCAGTGCAGGGGTAGAAATTAACTTTTGAACACGGGAGTCCAACGGACTCCCTGCCCTCAAAAAGAGGGAGTTCGCAGCAAAATGAGGGAGTCCGCAGTCTGAAGTTTAAAATTAAAGATATTAACAATAACGCATGTGCTTATTTTGAAGATTCATGCGGTTGCACGTCTGCCAAATTTTCTTTGGACATTAGCTGAAAAAATACGGTAATTCCGTGGCCGTGCTCTGGAATGAACTAGTTAGTATGGCAGAATTTTCAGGGAGTCACACATACTCCTGCATATGTTAAATCAGGGAGTCCGACAGTAAATCAGGGAGTATTTGACTCCGGACTCCCGTTAATTTCGCACACTGCTCTTGATATACACACACATCCCTGTATCATAGGCAGCAGTGTCAGTAACTTACAGTAAGTGTTGGGAGAGTACCCCCTCTAACCAGTGCTGAAGTTAGTAGAGTGGGGCGGGGAAGGTGCAAGAGAAGTACAGATACATTCCCTGGTCAATGGCGGTCACCTTCCCAGAACACAACCCGCGAGGCCCTTTACCCTCTGCTCCAGGTAAAATGTGTTATTGTTAGCTACGCTCCTGGGGCCCGTTGTCAGAAACAAAATTAGTCTTAACAGTCAGAAACATTAGTCTTAACATTAGTCTTAACACTAACATTTTCTCGTAGACCGTCGACATCACTTTGTTTCGTATTGTTACGAGGAAATCTGCTACGATTTTTCATTCTCGTAACTTCGCAGCGTTTCAGTCATCGGTCTAAGCAAAAAAACTAATGTTAAGACCAATTTTGTTTCTGACAACGGCCCCTGGTAATGTTCGACACCAAATACCAGCAAAGCGATAACGCACATGCTAGTTTACCCGGCGTGAAAAGTTGCTTTTTTCGTTATCGATAATAGACTGATGACGATCATTGACTAATCGTTATCAAATTGATCGTCGACTAATCGATGTCAAATCGATCGTCTACTAATCGATATCAAATCGATCGTCGACTAATCGATATCAAATCGATCGTCGACTAATCGATATCAAATCGATCGTGTTTATTGTGTAATTGATTACCCGTGTTTAACGATGCCTAACTCGCAATTATGCAATGACGTCGCGACTATGTTCATTTTCGTTATCGGAAATTTAAATGGCGTCCGATTGTCAAGATGTAATTAATTATTTTTCGTCATATATTCACTGCTATATATGGTGAAGTGGTACCAGGAGTGTATAATATACTCTTTATCTATTGTATGCATAGTATATAATCTATATTATACACTCCTGGTGGTATAAATGTGATTGTTGCAGCGCAGTTATAGCAATGTGATCATCGTCAGATATATATATTAAAGATTTTCGTGATTTTTCGTTTTTTTTTACATGAAATTTTTTCTGCCCAAGTGGCAGCGTCGGAACGCATCGATGTAGTTTTCCTGTTTTAAATAATAATTTAAGGAGTTTGTTAATTAATTAAATTGGACAACTTGCATGTTTCATTGTCCATTCTGCCGCTCGGTGACATTTCGAATGGCGATCGTTACTGTGGTCGACTCACGTCACAGTTTTTTTTCTGGGAAAGTTATACCCCAAGATATTCGATAATACCACATATATATATATATATATATATATATATATATATCAAATTTAAGAAATTATTTACCCCCGATACATACCGTATGTGTGTGCATGCATTGTTTGCTGTCGTCGATGTGGCAGCTTTTTTTCTGGGAAAGTGTACCACAAGATATTCGATACCATATATATATATATATGTATATACGTTATATATGTATATTTATATATATATGATATATATATATCGGGTGAGTAATGACAAGTTGTCATAATTCATAAATGACATTTCACCCATGATATATAATATAATGATATATATATATATCTTCAAAAATATCTCTGTAAAGGTTTCTCCTACTATCTGTGTGTGTTATTGTATGCGTGCCATACTCTGCGTGTTTTGACGTGTGTGTTGCGTTTGGTCTGTTTTGTCTATGTACGTGCGTGCGTGCACGGCTGCCGCGCGCTTAATATATATTTGTATGTGAATAGTTGTGTCATGAATTCTCAGTTACGTACTCTCTATTTCTTATTACCATCATTTCATAACATTCAACGAAACGACAGTTTTACCGGTAACGACAAATAATCCGTTCGTTAATTGAAACGTTTTAAATAGAAATGACAACATCGCTTTAATCGAAATGACTCGTTACTATCACTACTAACTCATTATCCTCATTAATATTACAATTAATTAATTATTAAACACTGTACAATCACTGAGGTGGAAGACGGCATCGCTGGCGCCCTCTATCAACTCAGCATGGCGATGCTGGCGCCCCCTCTCAGCTCGACGTGGCATCGCCGGCGCGACCATCATCAACTCAGCGTAGCATCACCGGCGCCCTCTCAGCTCGACACTCGGATTCCGAGCCGCGCTAGCCGCGACCCCACTCTTGACTTCGGCAGACGTTTCTCTGCGGGTGGAAAAAACGCCCGAATTCAACCACAGATGGCAGCACCTGAGGCACGAGATCACAGGTAGGAATGACATTGTGGGAAACACAACGGTCGAACATACGTTAACAGGACACCGACGATGCCAAGGTCACTGGCCTTAGTACTATGTTGGCGATCCTCTAAATATTATGGCTATAATATATAAACATATTGGCTTTATACCACAAACACCCGTTAGATTTTGTTGGTGAGGACACCCAGCGTGAGCATGCGCCTGCGGGGGCACGAACTTTTGCCTTTTTCGACGTTATATGCATTTAAGGTAATCCGTCTCTGTGACGAACCGCTACAGGTGCATTGATTATTGATTAAGTCCAGAGATGCCAACACATATTTGAAAGCAATCTGTAGTGTTCTAGCCAATCAAATATAGTAGTTCGAGGGTCCACGTAGGACCCCGAGTTTTGCTAGGTGGGGTGCCGCAATGCCCCTCGGAAAAATTTTTAGATTCTGAGATTGCAATTTTCCTCATTCGTGGAAAGGTCAAAAAATAGAATTTTTTTGATCAGTGAAAATTCCGTAGTTTGATACTAAACTGGTCGTAGTGGTGGCAAAGAAATAAAATTCGTAAATAAATACAGATAAATCGTAGTGGATTGGCATCTACTGTTAATAGAATCGATTTTATTACGCGTTTAAAATAATTCCGTCCGAAGACGTGTCGGCCAGTTACGCCTGGATAATATTTACGACGCCTATCAGGACGCCCCGCATTACATAGCGCTGCGCAGAGTGCGCGCCAATCAGAACTCGACGTTATCAGAAATCTGGATCAATTTCACTCCGCGGTTACTCCTCTCTCGCGCGCAGAATCCAGATGGCAAGGTCGAAACAAGAGAGGCAGCAGGCGACTATAGATGTCGCATGTAAGCACCAGTATGTAAGCGTTCGTTCGCTGCGCGCACCTGAAGCTCGTCGCTCGAGCTGTTGACGCGTGTATTATATCTGTGTGAATTATTATTAACGCCAATCATAAAATCAATAACACAATCAAGTTAATATTCATTCCATCGATAATACAGACACACCCTCGCTCTCTCTTATCTCTCTTATCGCCTCTCCTCGTCTCTCTTTTTCCGTCTTCTCTCATCTTTCCCCCCACTCCATCTCCTCTCTTTATTCTCATTTCTCTCTCGTCCAAGCTTTTCTCTCTCATCCTCTCGTATCTCGGTCTCTCATCTCCNAAAATTTTGCATCTTCATGAGATGCAATTTCCTGCATTCTGGAAGCGTCAAAATATGAATTTTTTTGATCAGGTGAAATTCGTAGTTTGATAAAATGGTCGTGTGGTGCAAAAGAAACAATAACAATTCGTTAAAATACGGATAAATAAATCGTATGGTTTGGCATCTCTGTTAATCGATCGGATTTATTACGCGTTTAAAATTTCCTCGAGACGTGCGGTTACGCTTCGGTAATTTACGACCTATCGGACGGCCGATTACATCGCGCGCCCGCAGCGTGCGCGGGCCAATCAGACTCACGTTTCAGAGATCTTGATCTCGCGGTCTGCCCCGCAGAATCCGATTGGCGCCAAAGGGGGAGGGTAGAAAACAAGCAGGCAGCAGGGGCGCTATAGAGGTCGCTGTAAGCACTATTACGTTCGCTTTCGGCTGCGCCGCCACTGACTCGGTCGCTCCACTCGTTGACGCTGTTAGTTAATCTTGTGTGAATTATTATTACCCAATCAATAATCAATAACCAATCAAGTTAATATTCTTCCATCGATAATACAGACACACATCGCTCTCTCTATTATCTTCTCTTTTCCCTCTCTTCTTCTCTTTTATTCTATTTTCTCTTTCTCTTTCCTCTTTCCTTCTCTCTCTTCTTTTTTTTCTCTTTCTCTTCTCTCTTTTCTCCTCCTCTCCTCTCTCTCTCTTCTCCGTCCTCTCCATCCCCTCTCTCTCTCTCTTTTCTCTCTCTCTCTTCCCTCTCTCTTTTCTATCCCACATTCTCCTCTCTCTACTCTCTCTTTCTCTCGGTCCTCTCTCCTCTCTCTTCCTTCGGCTTTCATCTCCTTTCTACTTCTCTCTCTCTCTCTCTTTCTCCCTCTCTCTCTCTCTTCTCTCCTGCTCTCTCGCTCTCTCTTCTCTCTCTCTCTCTCTCTCTCTCTCTTCTTCTCTCTCTCTGCTTCTCGCTCTCTCGCTCTCTCGCCTCTCTCGCTTTCTCTCTCTCTCTCTCTCTCTCTCTCTCTCGTCTCTCTCTCTCCTTCTCTCCGCTTATCTCTCTCTCTTATCGTCGCATCGTCACACTCTCTTCCTCTTCCATTACACCCACAACAATACACCACATCTCCACTCTCGCTCTCTCTCCCCCAGCCCCCCAGCAGGGGGCGCCACTCACCGCATCGACCAGGTCCATGCAGACTGCTCCGAAGTCTCCGCCGTGTAGCCGCGCGAAGTATCGGCTCAGATTGTTGTACGCTCGCTCGCATCCATGCACACCGTGCCGTTCACCGCCACCGGCCCGTCGCCTGGGCTTGCCTCCCTTAATGGTTTGGTTAACGAGCGATTCATTAACGATCCGTGACGAGCGATTGGTTAGACGAGCGATTAATTAACGATCACAATAAGTGACTAATTAAACGATCTTAACGAGCAAAGCGATTATCGATTGTGAAACGTCCGACGATCGATTAACATTTTCAATAAGCGATCAGTTAAGGATCGATCGATCAACTAGCTAGCAATTAATTAATGAACGTAACGAGCGATCGATTAACGATTGCAAATCGCTTCACCTGTAAAAACAACAACCAGGAATCCATCCAACCGGTAGGTGGCGCTAGTGTGCCGGTTACAAATGCAATCGAGAACACCGCCGCTGTACAAACGAATATGTTCACAACGGCAACCGCAAATAAGTTCGTAACACGTATTAACGTTATCAACACCGTATTTTTTTCTGCGCACGGGAACAAACGGCGCGTTCGCGCGCGGGCACTCACGTTGCTATGGTCACGGAAGCACGTCTCCAGGGTCGTGTAGCGGTTGTAGAACCCTTTGACGGATCCATCCTTACTGCATGTCTGTGTGCTGTTCTCATCCTGCGTGCAGTTGTAGCCAAAAAAACACCTTAGCAGTCTGCGACAGCGAGGACAGATGAGAAGAGAGAAGAGAAAGAGGGAGATGGTAGGCAGGAGGGAGCGGAGGGAGGGAGAGAGCAGAGAGAGAGAGAGAGAAGAGGGAGAGATGGAGAGAGAGAGAGAGAGCGAGGAGCCGACGACGCGACGATGCGAGAGAGAGAGAGAGACTGATGAAGAGAGAGAGGAAGAGGAGAGACGAGAGAGAGAGAGAGAGATGAAGAGTGTGAGATGGAGAAGAGGAGAGAGAGATGTGCGAGAGAGAGAAGAGGAGAGACTGTGGCGAGAGAGAGATGAGGAGAGAAGACGAGAGAGAGAGAGGAAAGACATTTTATAATGCGATGAATAATCTTAAATATCAATAATAATATGATGATGATGCATGAGTTGATGATAGATATAATAATAACAAGTGCGCAGCAGCAACAGCGCTTCATCTAAGTCTACTGCGGTGACTCTGTGGTGGGTGCGGATCTGGGATTCTAGTAACCCTGTTAGCTCCCATAATGTATTCACATAACACGCCGAAACAGTGGAATAGCACCAGCGGCATGCGTATCAGGACCTTTCTCAAAAGAAGTTCGTTGGGACGCGTTATGAAAGTATGCCACGATGACATGACGCGTGTACGTTTAAGTGTCTATCAGATTAAGATCGGAAGCCTCCGATCATACGTAATAGCACAACTATCATTGCAGACAGAATAGGTAGCACTTCATCCATTTACCTACGCAAGCCTACAGGCCTGCGGCCAATAGAGAGCTGCCACCTGTAACCATTAAGGCAGAAAAACTCCACGTACCACAAAACACATGCACTGAGCAGTAGCCACTGGCAGTGGCATCACGTTAATGTAACATACTGACCTACAGACATGCATTATACAATTATACTGCATTTAAGGAGCAGTAAACCTTCTTTCAACAAATTTAGCTTTCTTTGAAAATTTCACTGCTGACTTTGTAGCCTCATTACATCCAGGCATGTATAGATTCATACTAGTGCAATACCCGGCAGTCAAATTCTTCTCTAAACAGAAACAGTCAACAAATCATGTTCTAACCCTCCTCTTGAGGCCGTCAAAAGGTTATCTGACACTTTACTTCTTCGCATGTCAGCACAGCAGAAAGTTAGATTTCAGTGGTCTTTCAATAATGCCCATAAAAATGCATAGGTCACCGCTGAAACACAACAAAGTTTTTCAATCGCATACCGTCAGACCATGTCCTCAGAAAATGTATAAAATCATGACCTCGTGCCCATTGACCTTTGAACCTGTGACTCCAATTTCGGCACAGTAGAATGGCTTTTCCTTAACCATGATGTATACACGATATCACGACTCCACAGCTAGAGTACCGAGACCGTTTCAGATTTGTGCCGCATTCCTGCATTTCCCTCCCTAATACCTTAAAGTTAAGCCGAGTGAATGTTCCCCCTTCTTTTAACACCTCTTGACCTTTGACCTTTGGACCCCAGCTTCGACAGCCCAACTCGTTTGACGAATCCCCAATTGTGCCGAATACTTCGTGACCGCACGGTCGCAGCGGTAAGATTTCGTGCCCCCAACTCGTGACGGACGACCGGCCGGGACCGGACGACGGCACGGTACGGACGATCAAGCGGATTCTACAAGCTGCATCTGACTATGTCAGTATGATGATAATATATAACTATAGAGTAAAAATATAATAATAATGCTAATATTATACTAATTACACATAATAATAATTATAATTCATAATAATTGATCATAAGAAGTAAAAACAAGTCGCCAATAGCAACAGCGCTCATCTAACGTCATACTGCAGGTGACTCTGTGGTGGAGTGGTTGGGATCGTAGTAAACCCCTGTTAGTCCCAAATGTGTTCACATACACGACAAACAAGTGGAATGCACAGGATGGGTATCAGGAACCTTTCTCAAATAAGAATGTTCGTTTGGGATCGATTATGAAAAGCTGCACGAAGATGGCCGCGTTTACGTTTAAAGTCTGTCTTCAGCAATTAAAAAAAGAAAAAAAAAAAAAAAAAAAAAAAAAAAAAAAAAAACGATGAAGCTTCCCATCATATGGTAGTAGCATAAAAACTATCTGCAAGACAGAATAGGTCAAAGCACTCATCATTTACGTACGCAAGCCTACAGGCTGCGCAATAGAGAGCGCCAACCTGCAACCAATTAAGGGCAAAACTCCACAGTACCAAAACATGCACTGGCAGATAGCCACTCGGCAGTGGCATACGTTAATGTTAAATACTGACAGCTACAGAATGGCATATAAATTATACGATTTAAGAGCATTAAACCTTCTTTAACCAATTTAGCTTTTTGAAATTTCACTGTGACATTTGTAGCCTCATACATCCAGGCATGTTATAGATTCTACTCAGCAAACCCTGCGGCCAGTCAAATTCTTATTCTTAACAGACAGTCAAACAAATGCCCTGTTTCAACCCTCTCTTGTAGGGTCAAAAGGTTAATCAGAACACTTTACCTCTTCGCACCATGTTCAGTGGAAGAGCACAGATTTCATGGTCTATTAAATAAAGCCATAAATATAGAGTAGCGTCCCGCTGAAACAAAAAATTTTCCAATCGAGTCCGTCAGACCATGTCCTCAGAAATGGTTAAATCTGCCACTCTGTGCTCCATTTGACATTTGACCTGTGACTCCAATTTCGGCACAGTGATGGCTTTTTTCATACCAATGATGCTATACACCGACTATCACGAGCCGTAGTCGCAGCCGTTTAAGATTTGTGCCGCTATTCCTGCCATTTCTCCCTATTACCTTAAGTTTAGGAGTGATGTTCCCCTTCTTTTCACCCGCTTACCTTTTACTTTGACCCCCAGCTTCGACATGCCCAACTCGTTTTGAACGATCCCCAAGCGACCACCGAATATCGTGACCGTACGATCGAGCTTGTTAAGATTTTGTGCCCAAAACTGTTGACGGACGACCGGACGACCGGAACGGACGACGGACGGACGGCGAGTCAAGCGACTTCCATACAACCTGCATCTGACTATGTCAGATGAGCTAATAATACTAATGCTAGTACTTATACTAATTAATACAACAATTATTGATATTAAATAACAATAAATAAATTAATTATACATTAGAAGTAAAGAATAAAATAGGTGCTCAATTAATGAATACTAATTACAACAATAAATAATTAATAATCTATAATAATTAATAATGATGACATTCGCTATAACGGAATGCGTGTGTTAACTACCATCTTTCACACTGCTTCACCAATCTCTGGCATTTACGCACACGCACCTCTCTCTACCCGCACGCACCAAGGGCGTAGCCAGGAATTTGGATTGGGGGGTCCTCGAGCGAGTAACAAGGGGGGGTCTGGTGGTCTGAAATTTTTTTTTAGTTAAATGTAAAAATAGTGCTTTAAAATCAATTTAGACGCCGTTTTGTTGACAATACTATTTCTTCTGCAGCTCTACAACGACACCTAATCCGACCATGCTGTGTGACTAACGTCAATATACACCGCCTGCTGCCTGACATCGGACATCCATCCATTGGATAATCTTGTACCTCCACAAAAACTAGCACAAAATTTTTCTTTTTGATTTTGATTTTGATTGGGGGGGTCCTAGGGCCCCCAGGACCCCCCCCTCCTGGCTACGCGCTTGCGCCGCACCGCACCCGTCTCCCTTCTAACTCACCCTCACAGTTTGACGCCGACCACAGTCCGGCGACGAAAACGTAGCTGGTCTCTGCGACCTGAATACGGTCGGAGTGCAGGAGCACGTCGTTGCACTGCCGGCCCGTGTTCGTCGCATTCTCCGTCTGCAATAATCAATTAGTAGGTCTCAGGGGAGAGATAGTGATCCGCTAGATGGCGCATTATTAGTATAAATGAGCAGTTAACCCTAACCCTAATTCTAAAATAAAACAAAATTAGCGAAATATAATAAAAAATAAAATAAATAAGAGACAGAATTAGCCAATCAGAGCCGTCCCCTAGCGGATCACTATCTCTCCCCTGTGCAACATTTATAATCAATCAATCGTTCGAGCCACAACCATTGCTACTACTACAACCAATCACAACGCACGATCTCACCACAACCAATCACAACGCACGATCTCACCACAACCATTGCTACTACTACAACCAATCACAACGCATGATCTCACCACAACCATTGCTACTACTACAACCAATCACAACGCATGATCTCACCACAACCATTGCTACTACTACAACCAATCACAACGCATGATCTCACCACAACCATTGCTACTACTACAACCAATCACAACGCATGATCTCACCACAACCATTGCTACTACTACAACCAATCACAACGCACGATCTCACCACAACCATTGCTACTACTACAACCAATCACAACGCCCAATCTCACCACAACCAATCACAACGCACGATCTCACCACAACCATTGCTATGACTACAACCAATCAGAACGCTCCGCCGCTGCTCACCTGCCTGATGACGCCATACTGCAATCGCAGCTCGCGAAACGCGCGCTCGCACTTCACGCACATCTTCAGGGGGCGCGAGTGCAGCACGGAACAGCGGACGAACCGCGCCGTCGACTCGCTAAACGCCACCAGGAGCGCCTCGCACGGCGTCATGACGTCACTAAGGGGCACCACGATCGTCGACATCGCGACTTCGTCCTCGTAGGGAGCGCCGCCCGCCGTCGGAGTCGAATCGCTGGAATTCTGCGGCGGGGCGGAGTTCGAGGTCGAGAGGGCGCCACCTTCAGCAATCAAGTCGTCTGCGTTCAACGAGAGGGCGCCACCGTCCGCGCGAAAGACTGTAGGAGGATCACGATGGTCGGATGTGGCCTTGCGAAAATTGATCGCGTCGTCGTTTGTCTTTGAGAGCGTTCGTATATCGTTGTTTAAGTTGTTGTTGTTGTTCAAATTGTTGTCAGAGAGGACGGGATCGCAGTAGCACGACGAGCTCATCACTGCGTAGAATAAAAACACGGCAAATGCGACACGATGTTGACGTTTAGCTGGTAAAATCCAGCAGCAGAAAACTCCCATCCTGCTGATCAGATGATGATCAAACTGTTTTTGTTTTCGTCGCTAAAAGCGACCTCTTTCGCTCGCCGTTTTGTTACGGGTAAGCTCGCCAGAGGGCGCGAAACGACGTTAGAGGGATCCGAATTAGAAAGCGTGTGTTCCAGAAGAAGCAGCAATCATGGCTATGCACGTTCCACAGGCACCGGGCTTTGCCCGCATGATGAAAGACGGGGCCCAGGTGAGATTGAATTAAACGGTAGCATGTAGTTCGCGAACGGCCGAGCTATCTTCGTGACAATAATTATTGGCGAGTCGAATCGAAGTGAAGTGAAAATCGATGAGTGAATGAGTCATCGTTTTGGATTCTCGGCGACGCCATGCATAGGCGGGCTTTCTTCACTCGCTCCCTCTCTCTATCTCAGAGTCGGTGACACTGTCACTGACAGTGTTTCTACTACTCTAATCAGATTCAACGATCATGAACTTATCGCCCCCTAAATCATCATAGACATCTTATAGTCTATGTAAAATAGATTATTTAATGTTATTGTATAGATACCTTTATATCGTGTCACTGTAAATCATTAACACTTTTTTAACATCTTACCTACATTACAAAACACTTGTCATGCAGTATTCTCCTCTTTAATCACGTTTATTTTATTAAAACATCACGCAAACTTCGCTACAAACAAAACTGCCAATCTTGCATTGAACCGCACAATGACATTTCTCACCGGCCAATGAAATCATCGCTGTCCGGTGCGGTTCAATGCAAGATTGGCAGTTTTGTTTGTAGCGAAGTTTGCGTGATTTTTATGTCGTGATGTTTTAATAAAATAAACGTGATTAAAGAGGAGAATACTGCATGACAAGTGTTTTGTAATGTAGGTACGATGTTAATAAAGCGACGGCTTTAGGTATTTCTTTGATTTTCTATGTAACACGGCCGTAAATAGTGAAAAGGTTGTCGTGCATTTTGCACGGCGAAATTCACAGGTTTTGTCTATGGAAGGGTATTGGGCCCTAAAATAACATCAGAATATAAAAATTTTTAGGGCACAATTTATTGGTCTAGTAACCGCATACTAAACCTGATCCTCTTTGGGACTTTGCTCTCGATTTTTTAGCATTTTCAAGGACTGGAGGAAGCCGTTTATCGTAACATAGCAGCGTGTCAGGAGCTGGCACGCTCGACAAGGACGGCTTACGGACCGAACGGTGAAGCATTAATTATTAGTTATTAATTAGGGCTTCGTTTAATTTTTAATTACGTTCGTTACGGAGCTTTTCCTTTGTCTACCTTGTACCTTTTTAAGGCTTTTACCTTGTCCTTAACGTACAGTAATCGTTACAGTCTACCTTGCACCTTGTATTAAAATTTTGAATATATCTGTTAGTACTCTACTAAATAAATTCGTATTAATTCTAATTACTCTTTTAAATCATGTTCATCCCGCGTTACACCTACAACTGCATGTAATTTTTTCTGTATGCTCGTTATAATCTCGGCCCGTGTTTGTCGTGCGATTGTCCAGGTATGAACAAGATGGTGATCAATCATCTTCAAAAGCTGTTCGTCACGAACGACGCCGCCACGATCCTCAAGGAGCTAGAGGTAGGCAGCGCCATCTATGCACCCCGCACGGCGATAATTACTGTTATTATAATTAGTTTACGATTATTATTATTATTATTGCTATGATTAATTATTCTCAAGGAGCGGTAGTTATCTTGAGCCGCTAATCCATGTTATTATTATTATTATTACTGTAACTATTATTATTCAAATTAATTTCCTCAAAATCGTCCCCTCGATTTTTTTTAATTAAAAAAAATGTATCTCCTAAATTAAAACGTTCTTCCAATCGAAAAATATTCGCTAAAAACCCCGTTCTTGACCCTGTAGCCTCTCCCGTCCGCGCTTTAAAAAAAATGTACATCTTAAATCTTTAATGTACATGATTTACTGTCGGACTCCCTGATTTGACATATGCAGGAGTCCGTGTGACTCGCTGGAAATTCTGCTATATACTAACTAGTTTGTTCCAGAGCACGGCCTCGCGGTATTAGCGTATTTTTCCAGCAAACGTCCAAAGAAAGTTTGGCAGACGTGCAACCGCATGAATCTTCAAAATAAGCACATGCGTTGTTGTTAATATCTTTAGTTTTGAACTTTAGACTGCGGACTCCCTCATTTTGCTGTGGACTCCCTCTTTTGGGAGTCCATTGGACTCCCTTGTTCAAAAGTTAATTTCTAACCCTGTGGCGCCCTCTACAGGTGCAGCATCCGGCCGCGAAGATGCTGGTGATGGCTTCGCAGATGCAGGAGCAGGAGGTAGGCGACGCCACCAACTGGGTGATGATCTTCGCGGGAGAGCTGCTCGCAAACGCCGAGGAGCTGCTGCGAGTCGGATTGTCGCCAACAGAGGTCGCCGCCGGCTACAACCTCGCCGCGCCGCGCCGCCGTGATCCTGCCAGGCTGCTTGAAGGGTGCGGAAGGGCGGCGCTGAGGGTGGGGCGAGCGGGACGGGTGGGAGGGTCGGAGCTGCGGGGCTGGTGTTTGTGTCTTGGGTGGCATCGTGCATGTGTGTGTGTGTGGCAGCGGCGGTGACGTGCGTGCTGTGTATGGCCGTAGGCATGTTATGTATGCCGTGCATGCGTGTGTTGTATGTGCGGCGGCACCGAGGGGAGTGAGCCCTAGTGCTGTGCGTCGCGTGCTGCTCGTGTGCGTCGTGCGTTGCGTGCGCCGGGTAGCGTGCGTGGCAGTGCTCTTGTGCGTGCGTGGTGCGTTGTGCGCTGCGGTGCCGTTGCGCTGCGTGTGTGCATATGCTGTACATGTGTTAAACACTACAGTGACGTCAGCCTCAGACCTTGGTGTGCCGCCTCCGTGTCCAACTGAGTGCACTAGCCATGCTTTATATCTGTTAGTGTGTATTGGTGCTGGTAGCGTGCGTGCGTCGTGTGTGCGTGGCGTGCCGTGCTCGTGCGTCGCGTGGGACCCATGCAGCATATGTGCCTACATGTGCTTAACACTACGTGACGTCAGCTCAGACCTGGCTGTGCCGCTCCGTGTCGCAACGTGAGTGACTGCATGCTTATAATCTGTTGTGTAGTATGTCCGTGTGCGTGCGTTGCGTGCGTGCGTGCTGCGTGTGTGATTGTGTGTGTTCGGCGTCTATGTGTGCATATGTGTACAGCGTTCGTGTTAACACTTACGTGACGGCTCAGCTCAGACCTGGTGTGCCGCTCCGTGTCCAACGCTGAGTGACTGCATGCCTTATATCTTGTCGTGTGTGTATGTGTGCTGCCGTGCAGTCGCGTGCGTAGTGCCAGTGTGCTGTGCGCGCGTGCGTGATGTGCATATGTGTACATGTCGTTAACACTGGCGTGACGTCAGCCTCAGACCTGGTGTGCCGCTCCGTGTCCCAACGTGGGATGGACTGCATGCTTATATCTGTGTGTGTATGTCGCGTGCGTGCGTTCGCCTGTGCGTGCGTGAGAGGGCGGTGTGCTTGCGTCGCGTGCAGTCGCTGCCCGTGCGCTGCGTGCGTCGCGTTGCCGATCGTTAGCGTGCGGGCGGTGCGCTGCCGTTGCTCGGTGCTGTGCATATGTGCTACATGTGTTAACACTGATGTGACGTCAGCTCAGAACCTGGGTGCCGCTCTGTGTCGCAACGTGAGCTGACTGCCATGCTTATATCTGTGCTGTGTATGTTGTGCCAGTGCGTGCGTGCTGTGCGTGTGGCGCCTGTGTGCGGGTGCCGCTGCGTGCGTGCCGTGCTGGTTGCGTCGTGCGTATGTGCGTGTCGTGCTGTGCTGTGCGTTGCCGTAGCCGTACGCCGTGCGTGGCCTGTGCGTGTGTGCATATGATGTACATGTGTTACCTGCGTTGACGTCAGCTCCAGACCTGTGTGCCGGCTCCGTGATCCAAAGTCAGTGACTGCATGCTATATAATCTGTGTGTGTATGTGTGCGGGTGCGTGCGTCGCGTGCGTGCGTGGACGCGGGGCGTGCTGGTCGCGTGCTGGCGCCGGCGCGGCTGGCGGGTGCCGTAGGTGCGTTCGCGTCCGCTGTCCGCGTTGCGGGCGGACGAGGTGGCGCAAGGTCGCGCTCGCGTAGCGTGCGTCGGCGTTGCGTGCGGTATGGTGCTCGTGGCGTGCCGTCGCGTACGTCTGCCTGGCCCGCGCGCGTGCGCTGCGTGCGGTGCTGTGCCGTGGCTGTGTGTGGGTGTCGTGCGGTACCGCGGTCCAGGTGCGTGCCGTGCTGTGCGTGCGTGCGTGCTGTGGGTGTGTGCCATATGCTGTACATGTCGTTAACACTACGTGAACGTCAGCCTCAGCACCTGGTGCTGCCGCTCCGTGTTTCAACGTGACGTGACTGCATGCTTATATCTGTGTGCTGTTATGTGTGCGTGCGGAAGAATCCGTTGACAGGGGGGGATGCGTGCGTGCGTTGCGTGCGCTGCAGTGCGTTGCGTGGCAGGACGCCGGCGTGCCTGTGCTGTGCACGGCTGTGCGCTGCGTGCCGTCGCGTGCGTGCCGAGGGGTGCGTGCGTAGGGGGCTCGGCGCGGGCTGTGCTGCATATGTGTACATGTGTTAACACTACGTTGACTCCAGCTCAGACCTCGGTGTTTCCGCTCCTGTTTCCAACGCTGAGTGACTGCCATGCTTATATCTGTGTGTGTATGGTGCCGTGCGTTGCGTGCGTGCGGTGCTGTGCTGTGCGTGCGCCGTGCGTGTGTGCATATGTGCCTACATGTGCTTAACACTACGTGACGTACAGCTCAGACCTTTGGTGTGCCGCCTCCGTAGTTCCAACGTGACTGACTGCATGCTTAATCTGTGGTGTGTATGTGTGCGTGCGTGGCGTCGCGTCGCGTATGCGTGCGTGCTGTGCGTGCAGTAGCGCTGTGCGTGTTTACCGCTGCCGTTGTCGTTGTTTCAGACCTGGTCTTCAGCTCCGTGACCAACCGTTTGAGAGACTGCGCGGACTTGTGTATTCGTGTGCTGCGTGAGGCGGGTGTGCTACATCTGTTAGCCAATTTTGTCATGCCATGTCAGGCGTTGCGAAATTAACGCCGAGTCAAGGAGTCAAATACTCCCTGATTTATGTCGGGACTCGCCTTGCATTTGCACATTATGCAGGAGTCCGTCGTGACTCCTGAAAATTCTGCTATACTAACTAGTTTGCTTCCATGAGCCACGGACACGCCTCGCGCGAATTACCGTTTTTTAGGAAACTGTCCAAGGAAAATTTGGCAGCACGTGCACCGAAAATGTCCTTTTGGTTAATATTTTAGTTTTGAACTTCAGACTGCGGACTCCCTATTTTGCCTGCGGCACTCCCTCTTTTTTGAGGGTTAGGCAGTCGCTGTTTGAACTCGCTGTGTTCAAAGGTTAATTTCTAACGCCCCTGCCATGCTTAACACTGCCGTTCTCCGTTGTTTCAGACACTGGTCTGTGGCTCCGTGAAACCAACAGTGAGAGACTGCTGCGGAGATGAGTCGTTGCCATCCGTTCCCTGCATAATTGAGCAAGCAGTACGGCTTCGCATAGACTGTCCTCTCCCAGCTCATCGCAGAGGCCTGCAGTGCAGTACGTAGTAGGGCTGCTAGCGTAGTTTGTGATAGTAGGGGGGCTAGCCAGTACGGCCTCGAAGACTTCCTCTCCTCAGCTCGATCGGCAAGCAGGCGCTGCAGTGAGTAACGGTCAGTAGGGTGCTAGCCGTAGTTCTGATGAGTAGGGGCGCTAGCAGTACGGCCTTGAAGGACTTCCTCTCCAGCTCATCGCAGCAGGCCCTGCAGTGAGCTAACGTGGGCGGGCGCTAGCGTAGTTTGTGATAGTATAAGGGGCGCTAAGCGAGTACGGGGGCCTCAAAGCGACTTCCTCTCCCAGGCTCATCGCAGCAGGCCTTGCAGTGAGTAACGTAGTAGGGGGTGCTAGCCGTAGTTTGTGATAGTAGGGGCGCATAGCGCAGTACGGCCCTTGAAGACTTCCTCTCCCAGGCTCCTCATCGCAGAGGCCTGCAGTGGAGTAACGTTGGGCGCTAGCCTGTTGTTCTGTGATAGTATGGGGCCGCGCTGGCTAGCATGTACGGCCTTTCAAAGACTTCCTCTCCCAGCTTCATGGCCAGAGCGCCTGCAGTGAGTAACGTAGTAGGGGGTGCTAGCGTAGTGTGATAGTATGGGTAGGCGCAATAGCAGTACATAAATTAGGACGTCCTTATCCATCTAAGCGAAACAACCATGCCCTCCCCTAGATGGATATTTATCGCTAGGTCGCGTCAACGCCTCAATCTCATAAGATCCGGTCCATCTATCTATCTATCTTATACACACAACACATATATGTATATTTTTGGGTATATATATATTATAGTATATATTATATAATTTTTCTATCTATAATTCCATCTGTCTTATTATATTATTCTTAATCTAGCCATCTATTCTATCACTAGATAGATAGACAGACAAACAGACACACAGGACATTCCATACTTGCGGAGCAAATTGGCCGATCAGCTGATGGAAAATTTCGACTTCGCTCGTCGATCGATCGATCACGACTCAGTTCATAAATTCAATCTATCATTCAACACTCGCATAACCAATCCAATCGCATTCATTCGATCGACCGCAGGTTACGATCATGCCGGAGACGTCTCGCGTTCAACTGTGGACAGCGTCGCTCTGTGTGTAGCGTCCTGAGTGCGGCGTGCCAGCGCTCCTCGTCCGTCAACGCGCTATGGTGTTCAAACGCACGGTTAGAGGGCGAACACCGTCGTGCGCATCGCGGACGCCAGCATCGTCGTCTGACACCGTCGTCCGCTAGACATCGGCACGAGCGAGACGAAGGTGAGGATGAGCGAGGCAGGTAAGCGAGGAGCAGGAGTGGCGCAGAGAGGAGAGAGAGAGGAAGAGCGAGGAGGAGGAGGAGCAGGAGGTGCAGCAGAGGAGCGAAGAGGAGGAGCCCAGGAGTGCCAAGCAGAGGAGGAAGGAGGAGGAGGAGGAGCTAAGCAGGAGTGCAGAGAGGAGGCAAGGAGGAGGGAGGAGGAGATGGAGTGCAGACCGAGGCCAGGAGAAGGCAGAGGCAGCGAGGCAGCGTTAGCAGCGAGTGTGTTTCTCGTGTGTGTTGCTGTGCCGTGCCGTGCGTGCGTCGCCGAGCGTTGCGTCGCGTGCGTGCGTGTGACTGTGTCTGTGTTAGCTCGCGGAAAGCCGCCGGACCCGGGCGCTCACACGTCGCCAGAGCTCGCACGCGGGGGCCCACGTTGTGTGTGTGTCGAGTGTGGGTGCGTTGCGTGCGTTTCGTTGCGGCCCTGCTGCGGCGTGTGTGTGATGCAAAGGTTCTTCTGAGTTTATCGACTGTTATCATCAGTACGGAAGGGTGCGGCCTCTTGTGAGTGTGGGTCTGCCTGTGTCAGGCTTGTACGTCTCCAAAGTCTTATAAGTACTTATTTTCCAAAATAACATACCCTTTATACTTATTTTTTGCGTGAAATCGCTAGAAAGCTACTTAATAGTCCTTATTTTTTGCCAAAGGACCGATTTTTCAACATTTTCTGTGTTGGAATTTCGCGGCTCGAAACGGCTTTTCATAAAAGATCGTCGCGGTTTGCTGCATATCGCATCGCTGAATGCGGCGAGATTTGTTTGTTCTGTTATTAGTGTACTTTAGATAGTCGGTGATCTATCAGAAATCAGCGTAAAAAAGGTCTTATTTTGGGCCTCCGCAGATAAGGGTTCTTATAAAGTCCTGTATTTCAAACATGTGTTTTGCTTACTATAAACCCTGCTGTCTGGTGTGTACATCTGTCTGGTGTCGTGAGTATGTATGTGCCGCGCGCATGCGTGCTACATCTGTCTGTGAATGTGTTTGCGTGCTGTGTGCATGTGTGAGATACATACGTACTCACTGCGTGCCATGGGTACGTGAGCATAACTTATGTGAGGCTTGCAGGGAAGCGTACTCATCAAGTCAGCGCAGAATGAGCTTCAGGGATTCAGTAGCCGGTGAGAGGAGAATGTGCTCGAGCAGCCAGGATCCAAAAGCCATACCCGCATTACAGGTACGTGCGCGCGGCTGTGTCCTACGTGCGAGCCTGTGTGCGTGCCATGTTGCTCCGTGCGATTTGTGCATGTTATTTTAAGAAAAAGAAGTATTAAAGTAGTACCAGCCAGCCAGCAGCACAGCAGTAGTAGCCCAGCCAAAAGCAGCCAGCAGCAGCAGCCAGCCAGCAGCCAGCAGCTAGCAGCAGGCAGCAGCCAGCCAGCAGCAGTAAACAACAACTTACTGTTCATGTCAGACATAATCACGCGAATTGCTCGCTTGTTTCTCCGCCGTCACCGATTGTGGAATTCGCCAACCAGGGGCAAAGATCATCGTCACGCGGCGGAAAGATCGGCGACATTTGGCGTTACACTTCGTCAACAAGTACCGAACTGATGGCTGTTCGCCCTTGCATATTATCCGAAGTTTGACATTCGCAACCAATGGCCTCTGGCTGTCGCGAGCAGTTCCTGGAGCGAGCGCGCCTCTACCAGAACTGGTACGTTGCACTGTTAGTGTTTGTTTACTGGATGATGACGATGATGACTGATGCATGATGATGATGGTTGACAATGATTGATGATGATGATGGTGACAACAATGATGATGATGATGACCAACTGAGACGATGATGATTGACACGATGACGATGGATGATGATGTTTGCACAACGCATGGATGATGATGGTTGACAACAATTGATGATTGATGCGACAACCGATGATGATGATGATGATGACGGACAACGATGATTGATGATGCGTGACAACAATTGCATTTGATTGCATGATGGTGCACAACAACTAATGATGGATGATGACGACAACAAGTGTTGATGCATGATGGATGACGACAACGATGATGAGATCCGGGTGACAACAACAATGATGATCACGATGCACGACAACGATTTGAATGACCGCGTGATGAAAACAAAGATGACAATAATTGACGCAACAACGACCGTGACAAGCCGCGCTTCCGAATTCGCCTGACGCCATTGCCAGTGGTGATTGATTGATGGCATGACGATGATTGATTGATGATGATGATGACGCATAATGGAAAACTGTAATTTGATGACGACGATGATAACAATGACGTCCGATGACGACTCGATACCAACGATGATCGCCCGACGCTCTCTGACGCGGTCTGCCATGGTTATGCAATGATAACAATTGACGACTACATACCAACACGATGATCGCCTGACGACCTCCATGACGCGGTTTGCCTGGTTATGATGATAACAATGACGACCAATTGATTGACGGACTACGATTTACAACGGACGATCGCGACGACTCCCTGACGCCGCGTTGTTGCCATGGTTACAGGGTGCCGCCGACGGCGGAGGAGATGGGCCCGCGTGCAGCGCGCGTACGTCGACAGAGATCGGCGGCACGAGCGTCGTCGTGTTCCAGAGAGCGGATGGGTAGGAGTGCCGCCGTTCTCACGGCTCGTCGTCCGCGGATCACCGACAACATCCCCATGGACGACGTGGAGCGGTGCATCGCACGACGGAATCAACACGTTCAAGGGCCTACTGCTGCGTGAGCTGAGAGAGGAGGCGGGAGGCGGGGAGGAGGGAGGGGGTATGGCCGGAAGCAGGAGAGTCGCGCGAGGGGGTAGGGAAGCAGGAGGGGGAGCGTGGGTAGGGGAAAGCAGGGAGCGGGGGACGGGGGTAGGGGAAGCAGGAGGGCGAGGGGTAGGGCGAAGCAGGAGGTGCGGAGGGGATAGGTGAAGCAGGAGGGGGAGTGGTAAAAGCAGGAGGGGAGGGCGGGAGTGTCGGCTTAGAAATACAGAGGCGGCGAAATCAGTTAGGCCAAAACAAAAATATGGTGTGTGGTTACAGTTACTTGCGAAAAAAATAATAGGGTAGGTAAGGTAGGGAAAACATTTTATTTCTTTGAATTATTTTATTACGACATGTTCGAAGGATGGTGCGTTGTGCTTTTTAAGCGAGAACTTGCTAATTCATATTTCGTTTATTTTTTTATTTTTTTTTGACTTCAAAGAAAATTGACAATAAAATGTTTAGGGTCGCTGGGAATAAAATGATGGTCGGTCGTGGAAACCGCTAACCACACCTATATTTTGTTTTTCCCTTATAGTAAGTTAGCAGGTGGTGGCGTTACATTGCGAATCGGTGGATGAAGGTAGTCGTAACTCTCCAGCTCAATGTTGGAGATTCGTCAATCTACGATATATTGTATACGCCATATTTTTCGCGTACAGATATTTTCCCGACTTCAGACTTGACGGACAACTTTTGCGAGTGGTTAATTGCGCGGTCGGTGTCAATTATTAATTGTTCGGTATTATTCCGTGTGATTTATTCGCGTGTTGTGATTTTCGCGGTCGGGGACGCGCTCGCGAAATTTGCTAAAATTAAACCACCGCGAAATATACAGCGTATTACCAGGGTGCGAAATGAACGGGAGTCCGGAGTCAAATACTCCCTGATTTACTGTCGGACTCCCTGATTTGACATATGCAGGAGTACGTGTGACTCCCTGAAAATTCTGCTATACTAACTAGTTCGTTCCAGAGCACGGCCTCGCGGAATTACCGCATTTTTTCAGCAAATGTCCAAAGAAAATTTGGCAGACGTGTAACCGCATGAATCTTCAAAATAAGCATGTGTTAAAAGCATGTCTTTAATTTTGAACTTCAGACTGCGGACTCCATCATTTTGCTATGGACTCCCTCTTTTTGAGGGTAGGGGGGGGACTCCCGTGTTCAAAAGTTAATTTCTACCCCTGGTCCTGGTATACAGTAATCTCTTGTCTTCTTTTCTCTCTTTCTTCTTCCCTCGCGTCTGACGCCGCGTCTGATTGGCTGTTGTTTTCCTCGCTATCGCAGGATCCGCGCTACCTTCCGGGAGCGGGAGCAACGGAGATCGAACTCGCGCGCCAGCTGACCGAGTACGCCGACGTGAGTACAGCGCCCTCTATCTCGGCGCGCGCGGCGACGAATTTACTTTCTCGCATTTTTCGACGTATTACGAGTGGGTTCGAGGTCAAGATTGACTTTTTACGCTGCTTACACGTCGAATTCTATTGTTCAGGGTTTCGTTGTCATAGCGCGCAGGGAATTGCTCAAAATTTATAAAGATGGAAAATAAAGTCAGGCCGTCAAGTTTTGGCATAAAAAAAAAAAAAATATCAGAATCGTCGGGAAATTTATCAGAAACATGAATGAAAAATGAAAGAAGAAAAATGAAGATTTGTGCAATTTTCAAATCAAAAATGTTGCGACTTAAATAAGTGAGGGGTTGTTCGAAAATTACGACACAAATTCTAAATCCATATACTAATGATACCATATCTATGATATCGGATAGCATATCAGAGATGCCAACCACTACGATTTATCTGTATTTTATACAAATTTCTATTCTTTTTGCACCATTACGACGTAGTTTGTATCAAACTACGAATTTCACTGTGATCTAAAAAATTTTTTTTTTCATTATTGTTACTTTTTGACCCCCAGAATGCAGGAAATTGCATCTCAGAATCAAAAGATTTTCCGGTGGGCATGCAAGACCCCCCCTAGCAAACTCGGGTCACTCTGTGGCCATCAAACTACTAATTTCATGGCCAGAAACTACAGATTGCTTCAAATATGTGTTGGCATCTCTGTCATATGATGCTTCCGGCAATGGGCCCCAGGATATTTACTGTTACTTGATCGATTATTGATTATTAATAATCAATAATTCGCAGCCGAAGCGAACCTAAGTACTAGTGCTCACAGCGACCTCTATAGTTTCCCTGCTGCCTCTTGTTTTCTACCCCCGCCATTGCATTTGTTGCAGACGTGTCCCGGCTTGGAACAGTACGCGATCAAGAAGTTTGGAGAGGCCCTGGAAGTGTTTCCGAAGATCCTGGCCGAAAACGCGGGCGTGAAGGTACGCAACGCTGCCGCCAGGGGGCGACTCGTCGACCGAAGTTCGGAGCGGCATTTTTTTCGGAAGGGTTTTGTTTCCGTTTTATTTGGACCTGACGTCGCGTAGCGGCCGATTCGTTGTTCGCCTTTAACGCGGGAAATTTTTCGGGACTCTGCCAATATAAGTGTCGTTTAGAATCGTTGCTATCGTGGTGTCGGCTGTTTTCTTCCGGCCCCTGGAAGCTAACCCAGTGGGAATTAATGACCCGCCGTAGTCAGGGTTCGTAGCGGGTCTTCCAAAGTCTTATAAGTACTTATTTTGCCAAAAATAAAATAAGGGCCCTTATTAGTACTTATTTTTGGTAAAATCTTAGAAAAGTACTTAATAGTCCTTATTTTTTATATTATTGTTGTATATATAATACGGAATAATTAAATCTGATCTGCAATTGTGTATATATCCATTATTAGTGTACTTTAATAGTCGGTGATCTATCAGAAATCGCGTAAAAAAGTCTTATTTTGGCCTCCAGAAAGGGTCTTATAAGTCCTTATTTCAACATGTGTTTTGCTACTATGAACCCGCCGTAGTGCCGACCCGGGGCTCTTGTTCTCGATATGTTTCGTTGACGCTTTCGTCGTTGTTTTTACCGTTTACAGTCAACAGAGGCGTTGTCAATGCTCTACGCATCGCACCAGGAGGGCAAGAAGAACTCGGGCTTTAATATCGAGGTGAGGGAACAGTGCGTGCGTGCGTGCGTGTGTGCGCGTGTGAGTATTGCCGTAAAGTGCGAGACTGTCCTACATGGAATTGGGTGCCTTTCACTCTTCTGTACATTTGTGCGTGTTTCGTGTTTCGTTGGTGGTTGCGTAAATGCGTGCGTGAGTGACGCAGGTAACTGGAGTGGAAGCAGGGGGATGCAGGAAGTGCGTGCGTGCATGCATGCGCAGGCGTGTGTGTGTGTGTGTGTGTGTGCGTGCGTGCGTGTGTGCATGCGTGTGGGTGCGTGCGTGCGTGCATGCGCGTGTGTGTGTGTGCGTGTCTATGTGCATGCGTGCGTGTAGGCATATGTAATACTTTGCAGACTGCAAGTGCAAGAGTGCACGACTCTTCTATAGGGAACTGGGTGCTTTCATATTTGTGTTTGGTGCTTGCTTGCCTACATTCGCATGCATGCGCTCTTGTCGTCGTTGTCGCTATGACGCCGCCGTCGCCGTATCTTGCAGGGAGAGGGCGCCGCGATCATGGACGTTGCCGCGGCGGGCATTGTCGACACCTTCCTGTCGCGACACTGGGGTCTGAGGTTCGCCACGTCGGCTGCCGTCACCGTACTGCAGGTTGACCAGGTGAGGCGTGGTGCCCTCTACCTTGTCTGTCACACACTAAAAAAAATTATTTATTTCTTTACTATTTATTAAATTTATTATTTTATTTATGATTAGTAACATTTATAATTATTCAATTAAAAAAAAATTTAATTAAAAAAGTTATATTATTAATTCAATTAAGTAAAGAATTAATAACATTTAACAAACAAGAAGAGTGGGATGTCTCTACCTGCAGTACTACCATATCTTACACACACCCCTCCCTCCCTCCTGCTTTTTTTTATTACAGATTCTTTTATAATTTACAGAATCATTTCTTTTTTTACGCGGAAAGTAATGCCTTGTGGAATTAAAAAAAAAACATGCTATAATTATTGAATTTAATTTAAATTTAAAAAAAAAGGAGTAGTACTTAAAATTGAGTCGAGTCGATCGCAGGTATTAACGTCAGCTGTTCGCTTGTCTTTCAGATCATCATGGCGAAGCAGGCGGGCGGACCGAAACCGAAGAAGAACGAGGATTGGGACGAGGATTGATGAGGGCGCCACCTGTCGCCATCGCGGGGGCGCCACCCGTCGTCGCCCGCGGCAATGGCGGAATGCGAAACACCGGCTTATATTTATACGTGTGTCGTCAGTGTGTTTTTGTTTCTGCCGCACGGTTGACCAGGCTCGACTATTCAATAATCACATACCAGGCATGCCGGCTCAATAATCACGTTCCAGGCCTGTCTACTCGATAATCGCATACCAGGCCTATCTACTCAATAATCCCATACCAGGCTTGACTACTCAATAATTGCGGACCATGGCGATGACGGCGGGCGCGATCGTTGCGTGACGATGTTCACTTGTTCTTTTGAATTCCGGTTTTCAACGGACGGCGCCATTTTGTTGATGATCCATTTCGAGGCGCAGTCTCATTTCGCCTCGCGCAGTTGTCTTAGTTGCGACGGAGACTTAAAGGTCAAAGGGTCGTTATTATTTACGCCCCAATTGCGATTGGCAGACAATTTCCTTCTCACTGCATCTTTCTTGAACCGCGTAAGTTTGCGGTTGTCTCCACTGGGTGGCGCTGCTGCATGCAGGCTTGCGAGACGTCGGCGCCATTGCAGCCACGTGGCGCCATCTGTCGGCGAGAAAAACCAATAACGCCGTGGCGCACGACGGCCGCAGTTCGCGTGCGGTGGCGGGCCCTCGCCGGCGCCCCCTGGTGGAGTCAAGGGCAACCTCGCCGCGTGCCTGAGGAATATCCTGCGCCATGTTTTGTTTGCGCGATCGACAAAATTAATAAACTGGAACGATGATGATTAAGTCCTCGTCTACATTTCGTTATTTTTATCGTCGTGTTTATAATGAGAAGCTCAACACGCTGAGAGTGAGATGATAATGATAATAATAATAATAATAATAATAATAATAATGGTTATAGTAAAAGTGGTAGTAATAATAAATACCATCAGGAGTAGATTATATGTGGTATTTTTATAGTAAATATATAATATAGTATATATAATAGTAGTAGATATCTCACAAAATTCATCTGAAAGGGTGATTGTTTCCGTTCTGTTATCTATGGTACTTTACCCCCAGCTGGTATAATTTTACTGCTAAAGACAACTTCAGAAGGTTTCTGTTCTTGAACTTCGAGTATTGCTGTATTCGTATATCATTATATGGAACATGGGCGACGTAGATGTAAAGCCATAAATCACGTGTCATTATATCTCGTGTCACGTGATGTGGAGAACACATACAATTTATGTTATAAGAATTTCTTTACTTGAATTACTTATGATCAAGTTATAATGTCATTAATGATGTAAATGAGAGAAACGGAAATTTTTTTGCAGATGCTTTTTTTGGTCTATATTCGTTCTATTGTATGTGCACTATAATCCATAAAAACATAAGTCAGACATTTTGCTCTTTTAAAAATTATTGAATAATTTAGACATTATTTGAAAAAACAAACGATCGTGGCGATAACGATGACGATGGCGATGCACGTTCACTTGTTGAAGTGGTATTGGCAACATGGCGGCCGGCGATGGAGAAGAACCAGCAGTTACGAAACAACCTCATTTATCTAAACAAGATCTATCCACATTAGTAAGAATGTAACACCTATTTATCGCCACCCTCCATCCAAAGCGATTTCAAACTTTACCGATTTAAATTCTGTCACGATTTCAATGTTTAGAGCCATTTTATGTGCCAACTTTCGTCATGCATCGCGCATAATATTGCGTCAGATGGCATGAGCGGTTTTCGGTAACATGTTTTTACGTAGATACAATAATGTAACCCAACAAGAGTAGGGTTACAACGCGAGCCTATTCTTTTCTTTGGAGGAGCCCCTGAGTGATTCACTCAAGGCGGTTTTATGGTGCGTTTTTCGAGACTAGTAGTAGTACAACTTCCAAGCTGGGTTTATTATAAACATGAACCTTTCTCCGCTATCCTTAGCTTCAAGAAACGGTATTGCTAGGGTTAGAATACCGTTTCAAACATTGGCTGCAGCTAAACACGTAGTTGTCTTATTTGCCAAGTATCGCCAAAGAACACTTCACATGTGATATACCAAATGAATCAGTATACATCCACCTTCTTGTAACCATCAGTGCG